TTAGACATGCTATTTATACTTGCAATATTTTCAGATACTTACATGTTTATTTACAGCATTAATATATTTGTTTATAACACACTGTGTTATTACAAAAATGTATATATATACATATATACTGCATGTATTACAAACAATTAAATTCAATTTCATAAAATAAATATAAAATTGAAAAAAGACTCAACTTTTTATTAAGTGTGTATCAAAAGCTAACTCTGTGACATGTATGCATCACTAACATCATTTTAGACTGACATAGGAGATACCACATTTTAACACAGTAGATCTGACCCCGCATGTGGTAAGTCAGTATAGAATTCTTACTTCATAATTTATCTCTGGCTTCTGCTTTTGTCTAGAGTTTCAAATTTCCTGAAGTGATCATCGGAATACTTGAACACATTTGTGGCACAGACATTCCTCATGTGCCTTAGCAGAAGAAATATGAAGTGCCTTCTTTTAAGGGAGCCATCAAGTCACTATCAGAGGCAGAACCAGTAACCAGATTCTGTTCCTAATTCAAGATTCCTTGCTTGTTTTGTATATAATATGTATTTTCTGCTGCAAAGACACTGGGAAGGCATCTCCTTGAACTCTGCTCCTTGGACGTAGGTAAGAAAACTAGATTCTATGGAAAGCCAATGGATTATTCAGCTACTGCCTTCGACCGTCAGAAAAGCGCAGAAGTCTTCAATATAATCATTTACTTCTAATGATGTTTACAGTAAAATGACAGCATTGGAATGAGCTATGTGTTATGTTAAAATAATGATCCTCAGCCAGGAAGTGATGGGACACACCTTTAATCTCAGCATTGGTACATAAAGGCAGGTAGATCTCTGTGAGTTCAAGGCCAACCTGGTCTACAACCTTCCTCAAATAGCTAAGTGTTTCTGTTTTAGATATTAGTAAAAATTGTTATTTGCTCATTCTGCACCAATGTTTCATTCATAATCTGCCATAAATAGTGTATTTTTAATATTCATTCCTATAAATGTTTCTACTTGTCAAGTGTTAATTTTAAAATAATATTTTAGTGGGTACTCTTTGGTTGTCTTATATACTGAGGAACATCACATTGATTATAACAAAGGTTGCACAATTTACAAACTATTTGGTTCACAGTACTAATTAAGGAATTTCAGTTTAAAACCCCACAAGTTATTAAATGATATCTATTTAATATGCTGAACCAATAATCTCATCATTGCTATCTTTGGATACTGGTTTTAACATATGGTTTATACAACAGAAAAACACAGTCTCTTTGGGAACTCATTATTATAAAATCAAGGTGAATAACAAAATGTACTTTTACCATAATGGAAATAAGGTAATACAAGTACAAATTTTTAATGATAAGCACTGAAATCTCATTGTTATTTTTGGAGAAACGTTAAGTTATGCATTATAATAATAGGACTTCAATAAAAGTAATTGGAAATGTGTTAGGCTGGATCATTCAATTAGGAGAATGGAATTAAGTTATACTATAAAAATGCACCTTTGCAAATGTCTAGTGTTCCCATGCTTCCTATATAACACCCTATCGTAGCAACTGATTCTCTTCTTTTCACTATGTCTGTTTAGATTATATTCTGGGCATTTGGAAGCACAGTTGTAACTAGATTCATTAGTTTTAAGCATGGTTAATTGCATGGTAATAAGGTTTTTAAGCACAAGTAGCCAAAATGTGGAAGCTTTGCAGAAAATAATGAGTGTTTGTCTTAGAACTCATCTTAGCACTTTCTTCAATAACTGCTTAGCACATTACTGGCTTAATGCAACTTTAAAAATACTTTCTTTTATTACTGGCGTGATAAATAGGAAATAGACACACAGCCCCCATGATGCTTTGGCCAGTGAAATACTGACATTAGCACAGATACCCATGGAAACATGTATTTCATTTAATACACTATGCATTTGGAAGAGAAGAAGAAAAAAGAGGTCTAAGAACTAATAGAGTTTAATGCATTAGAAACTGTGGGAGAGTCTCTTTATACCTGAGATAAAATTCTGTGTTAATCATTACTTGATCTGCCTGTAAGATTTATAACTATACCCAAATGTTAATTGCATTTAAATGGTGTGCTACCAATAGCATGCTGATAAGAACAGATATAAAACACAAACGATAACAGCATACAGAGGCAGACAATTACCCTCAAAAATCTGTTTAGCTCACACAAGTTCCTTCCCACACCTGCCTACATTCACATTCAAAATATAGGCACCAATTCAGATAATATGATATATATAGAAACCTGATTTTTTAAACTGATATGAGGCATAATTAGAATACTAAAGTTTAAAACATATTTTATGCAGGATGCCTTTATTTCAATTTATTGTTAAGTAAATATGACATTTTCTTATATGAAAACATTTGACTAATATACAGAGTATTAATGGACTACAGATTTATTTGGGTACATGTATGTTTATACATGGGTATATGTGTGTTCATAGGAAAAAAGCAATGCTACATTTTCTCTGCTTATTTCTTTCATAATACACTTGTGCAAAGCAGAAATCTACTTCTATTTTGTTTAATGCAAACTTGGTTTAGAGGCAGGAATAAAAAGAAGATCACTTATATCAAATAGTGAGGTAATTCAGTTGTCAATAAATTTTCAGTTGAGCACTAACAGAGATAACAATTCATAGGCATTTTGATTATCAGGTTCATAAGAATTTTCCCCTCTATAAATATCTCAAAACTAAATTGACTGGAGTGTCACAAAATAATGTATAACACATTACTGACACTTGTTTTACAACATTTATTTTTACATCGTCAATGAAGTATTTCAGTCTATATTACAATTAATATGTATAAAATGTGTGGATACATGAATGCTTTTCTATGAGTTTATCCTCCACTTATAACTCCTTCTTTGTGTATTGGTTCTACATTGTATCATCTAGGGAAACAGAAACACAGGTCTGTTTCTGGCAGTGAACTTGAATGCTGGAACCTCTTTTCAAAGTAAGGAAGACTACTTAGTCAAATCCTCTTTAAGACAAGATAATAAAACACCACTCACAGTAATCTAGTCCTATTAGGTTCTGAAAGTGTGCTTAAGACTCAAACTTCTTACTGTTGTGTACTTCGTAGTATAAGATGATTTGAAACTAGGACAGATTTGAAACCATAGGACTAATGTAGAACTCTTTACACAAATAAAATACCTAGCACCAGCCAAGAGAAACCTTCCCTTGCATGATTGGTCAGGGCAGTCCAATAGACTCTCTAAACGATATAGACTATTGATGCAGTGCTTGTCTAGGTACCATAGGTTGAAGGTGAACTCCAATTCCTGAACACACTGCATATAAAAGATGCAGGACTCTGTTGATCCCAACTACATCAGACATGAATATCTGATGTGGGAGTGTCATATATCAATCTGTTGATTTCATTGGTTAAGCAATAAATAAACTCCTTGGCCCTGATAGGTTAAAACATAGGTGGGAAGAGTAAACAGAATAGGATGCTGGGAAGAAGAGGAAGTGAGCTCAGACTCTGCTCTGCTCCTGGAGAGACTTGACATCTCTGCTCTCTGAAGTAGAGATGCCAGGCTCCACTCTCCCAGGCAGCTCCAACCCAGGATGGACAGAGGCTAGAATCTTCCTGGTAAGCGCACCTTGGGGTGCTTACACACATTAGTAGAAATGGGCTAGTCCAGGAGCGAGAGTTAGCGGAGAAGAGGCTAGATAGAAATGGGCAAAGCAGTGTTTAAATGAATACAGTTTGTGTGTTGTTATTTCGGGCATAAGCTAGCAGGCGGCCGGGGTGCTGGGGACACAGCCCCACCTCTCCTATTTCAACAAATATCTCCTTTCTGCAGTGTACCTTCCAAGGTGCCAAAAAACACTATGCATACTGTCAAAGGCTGCCTTCCCAGCTGTTAAAGTCATGAACCACATCTACAACCAGCACGGCAAGATATCTACGTGACCCTTTCTTGTTGATGATGACTAGTAGCAGTCTTTTGGGACTTTTTTCCTTCCAACACGAAGGAAACTGTACCTAGTGCTAGAAATAAAACTATATCCCAGGGCTAATAAGGTCAAGGACTTTAGAAAAGTTCTACTAACAACAATTTGCTAGACTAACATAGCTCTTTATTGCATTCTTGTATTTATCTTTACAGTCACAGAAAAGTGAAACTCCCCTAGTCAGTACAAAGAAGCTTCCCTCTACAGAAAATAGGGACAATCACATAAATCATAAGTGAACACAGATGCATAGATCACATGATCTTGGAGAACCCAGCCCCAATGAATGCATCTAAAAATTCTAGCTCCTCTGTCAATGACTCAGGAAACATCTCATTAGACAGGACAAAAGATTATCGGTGACAAAATATCAGAAAGTGTGCTGTGAAAGTCTCTCCTGGAAGTGACTGCATAAACAATAAGCGTGCTATGATTGAACAGGGAACTTTCATGGGTTCCTACATTTAGACCAAATCCATAGACAAGTAATGACTCCTGGGAGAGGGGAGAATTTGCCTCTCTTGGGAATGAGCCCCCTTAACTAGTTAACCAATGCAACATTTTCAGACATGAAAGCATATAGAAACACCCGAGAGAGAGAGAGAGAGAGAGAGAGAGAGAGAGAGAGAGAGAGAGAGAGAGAGAGGACAAGAGCATGCAATCAATTCAGCAAAATATATTAATATATTTGTGCATACATTATTCATATATGTAAACAAGTACATATGTACATATGTCTGTAGCAATAAGAGTAAAAAGACAGGCTATCAGTTTGAGATTGAGGCAACAAGCATGGGAGGGTTGCTGCATGGTACCTAAAAGTATCTGGAAGGAGGTAAGGTAAGGGGGAAATGATGTAATTATATTTTAATTTAGCAATGGGTTAAATAGAGAAGAGTGTTTCTTATAAGCCAGGAGAAACAGTAAAAAGAAAATAGCATCATTTGTATTATTGATGGAAATACTTGCATAATAACATACGTAAATTTGCTAACCTGTTTTAGGATCCACGGAGAAATAAGGTTGTCCTTGCAGGATGCTGTAAACAACACGAGCACTGTTTCCATAGGTGGGGTCATCTGCATCTGTAGCTGTCACCTGTAGAACAGAGGTACCTGTGCATTCAGAAAACAAATTTTAGTGTGATGTCATTTAGCGCATGACTCATTTGAGCACAGTAAAAGTGTTTGTTTCAGTTTCGATGCATTACCAAGGTGACTATGACCTACCAAATTTTATTCTCTTAAGATTTATTTCTGCATTTATTTGTATTTGTGTGTACATGAGTATATTCATATATAAGCAGAGGTGCCCAGAAAGCCAGAAAATGCCCATGGGATATGCCAGCCCTGGAGTCACAGGCAGATTTGAATTACCCAATATGGGCATTGGGAAATGACCACAAGTCTTTTGTAAAAGCAGCCAATGCTCTTGACAATTGAGGGAGCTATCCAGCCTCCCATAAATTACTTCTTAAGTTTGTGTACTATATATATATATATATATATATATATATATATATATATATATATAGTTTACTTTATCTCCATACTATTAGTAACATATAAGCTCAAATACAACACATGCTAGTGTTGTATTATAATTTCTTATATGACAACATTGAAATGTTCTTACTGATATGTTAACAAGAATGGGCTTTTATTATTGCCCATAAATTAAGTGATATTGCATGTCTTGATAAGTCAAGAATACAATGAGGCTATACAGTTCATGTATTAAGAACATCCTTAGTACCAAAGATGAGATAATGCATGATTAAAATGAGAAGATGGACAAATGATATTACCAGTGATATTCAACCACTCAATCTATATTACATCGTATATTTATCTATTTGTTTTGTATACCTTGTTTGGAATGCTGAGTCTCAAACTACTATCCTTGATTCAAACATCATTTATTCTGAGGCTTCTTTACAAAATGGACATAATTGTCTTTTTAAAACAAATATTACAATAAGTTTTGAATCGTAGAAACTTTAAAATAATTAGTAAACATTAACATGCATATTTGGAGTGTTAAAATTGGAGATGTATCATTCTGATTTTTTCCTTATACTTTGTGAATTGCTTATTTTGATACATACATCTACTTTACATGAATTACATGAATTATTCTTCAGTTAAAATTAGTCCCCACTATAACTGCCAACTATTTGAGGGTTGTTCAACTTTATGATAAGTGGGTAAATACCCTACTCTGTTAACCAAATTTACTTTACAAATTATTCTGTGATGAATACTATATCACTAAAAAATTATCTAATACTTAAAAATTGTATGTCAAACAAAAATATTACACAACCAAAAGAGCTTTTACAAAATTTTGTATTGATTCTTGTTGTTGAGTATACAGTGCAGTAACGTTCTGTTGTGAATTTTGTTGTAAATTTTGCAAGCATTTATTTTCTAATATCAACCACTTTAGAATTTTTATTTCTGCTTTGAAACTCAGACACAGCCTTAACCAAACCTTATTCCATGTCTTTGAGGGATTCTAGAACACCAGAATAAGTTCGCTTTTGCAACAAAAAAATGCACATATGTGTCTAATAACATAATGAAATTCTAAGACACTTATTTTAGTTTATACAATAAGCACCTGAAATAAATATAAATGATAAGGACTATGTCACATCTACATTTAAGCTATAGATTAGTGTAACACACTGGGAACTAAATCCTGACAGCGGAGCAGTGAAACAGGTGATACAAACACTGATGTAAATCATAGGAGAATGAAGCTGCTATTTTTAAAACAAAATTAACAATTGTAGTATGACCCAAAAATTATAAGGCATTTATGCCAAATAGAAAATTTTATTAATATAAAAGCATCTTATAAATATTTGTCAAACAAATTTTGTTCTCATAGTCTCATAATAGAAAGAGATGAAGTGTCTCTTAGTGGAACAATCATTAAACTATATCACATTATAATATAGCTTGTTACTCAATAAAGAAGGGAAGATTAATGGGCTACTCATACATGCGTTGACTTGAAGAGGTCTAAGTTTAAAATATAAATCATGTATACCTTTACTTTGTATTATTCTGCTGATAGGATATTGAAATGTATATTAGGATCCTATGGTCTGAAGATTGAAACATTGGAAAGCAAGTTTCATTTAAACCTCTAAGAAGGGCAAACTTAACAATGATGAAAAGGTTAAGTATTCTTTATAATGATGATTCATTGCATGATAGACTTATGGCCCCCCACCAACACTCAGGGAGCAATAGAATGACAGGGAGAATCTGTGAGGAAGCAGCAGAAAATACTTGAGAACATTGGACACCCTTAGTGTACTGAGGTAGAATGCGCCCATGAAAACACAGTTCTCCTATTTGTACTTTCTGCATCTGTGAGATAGAATGAAATAAACGGTACCTGTCCTCAACACTGACTGTTAAATCCTAACAATTGTCTAGAAATTGGAAGCCAACAGCAAACAATGAAAAATCCCATATGGTATTTGGTCCCAGATACACTGCTGAGTGAAGTAAACAAACAGCATCCTCATATATTAATTGAATGTCATACAGGTTAATATTTTGGAGACTCATATATTTCTAGTTTTCCATTTGTTGCCATTTAAAATTAAACCAATGGCTGAGTTATATTGGTCATTTTAATGATTAACCTTTTTTATCTTTAAAAGTTTATATGAAAAAAATCAGCTTTTATTTTGTTTTACATGCTTTATTGTTATCATATTGCTATATGTACATGCCATACAGAGTGAGTGGAGTGAGAAGATTGTGTGATAGGTTTTTCCCTCAATATAACTTTATCAATAAAGATCCTCTCACAGTGGAGTGCGCAATTCTTTCTCTCATAGTATGTGGTAAAATAGTGTCCTTGGTAAAAAAGAAAAAGATAAATTTCCCAAGAAAGATATATAGAATAAGGTCTATAATTTGACTAATCTGTCAGAATGTTTAATGTGGACTGTAACATTTGCTGGGAATTATTTTGATTTGATTAATACTTATCAGGACTACATCACATCCCCTGCCTAACTGGCCTTTCTTGCGAGAAACCCTGCATACATGGATGGAAACATTTTCTGATTGCAGAAGCATTTCTATTGTAAACGGCAACCCTGGCGATGCTGGATTCTGCAGCACATAAATCATTTCCCAAGCAGTGTTTTATTCCGAGTATTTCCTGTGACACACACTTGCTGTTCAAAGCCTAGGGATTAGTTCCTCTCAGCTGATGTTTTCTACAAATCTGAAAAGATTTAAATGCATGAAAAAAAGGCTTTCCAAATATCTTTACAATGTAACTTAAGTCTATTTCCCCCTCCGGAGAATCCACCTTGTCCTTCCCTTCACTTGGTTTTCCTTTGTTCTGATGCTTTTTAAATAGCACACATTTTGTCAAGTTGCATATCAACAAGAAGCATATGAGTGGCCTTCTTTGAAAGTCCCTAAAGACCAATTTGAAATATTTAACAAGACTTTTTTTTAATACCAAGCAAATACTCTGAGGTTGCCAATTACTACACGTGACTTGTCAGAGTTCACAATTGTGTTAAAGTCCCACGAGAATCGAGGCTAAGCAAAACATTTGGATAAAAATAAGCTAAAGATTTCTGCAGGCTGAAAGGCTTTACTGAAGGAAGCTCTTGAGGCATACTTCTCAAAAGACTTCCTTAGGATTTTGGAATAAAACAAGACTCATCAGCACTCCGAATTTTGTACTACACAGGGGGACTAGACTTTCACTAACAGATGAATAACAGTGGACTTTAGTTTTTGTGGGATTTTCTCACACTTTATTCACCCGAAAGTTATAATATTTTCAAAAATTATGTCTGAGATAAACCTTAAACAGCATCTCTGCTGAGTAACAACAGAAAAATCACTATTTTAGGATCTGACAGATGGCTCAGATGGACATCTTTCTCACTGCCAAGTTTAATGACTTGACATCTATTTTCCTAACTCACATGGTGGAAAAAGTGAGAATTACATGCCATACATTGTCTTATAAATTTCTTACGATGCTCCATGTTCACATGAATGTGAAACACACACATGTGCATGCACACACACATTCAATTCTACCCTGTATGTAAATTATGGCTACTGTTTATTTTTAAATTTCATTTACATACTTATTTAATTATCCAATGTGGAAGTTTTATAGCATCTTTAAATGAAAAATATATCAATGGCATGATACGCATTTCTTTAAAAGGATGTTGAAAAGCCATTCCTATAAGCTATTTAATGTAATGATAAAAATCAATATGGAAAAAGTTATATTAAATTATATTTATAAACATGATATTGAGAGTTATAAAGTTATACAACTCAAACACATCTATCTATTCTGAAAAATCTATATATTCAGTTACTCTTCCCAGTCATAATTTCCTGCCTCTGCTATTTTCTTATGATTTTCTCTTATACAATCTCTTGATAGAACACAACCCCAATTCAGATGCATCTCCATGAATAAAGGCACATTTATTATCTAACTCTATAGACAAAATACAATTTTATAAATAGATTTTTACAAACGAATCTCTGGAATTGAATATCAGGAGAAAGTATTGACTGTAGATATGGCTTGGTACTTCTTGTTCTTCCAATGGCCCTGTGTTCAATTTTCAGTATCCATCTCAGGCAATTCACAAGCTGTATTACCTCTGACTCCTGAGGAATCTAATAACTGTGTCCTTTCAGAATATCTGCAATCACACACACACACACATATACACATATCCATGATTTAAAATAATAAAAATTTATTTTAAAATTAGATAGATGACACTGCAGAGCAAAGCATTGGCAACATTCATTTTTCCCTGCAGCATTGAACAATGTGTATGATTTCCTTCTTCCTAAAGAGTAAGTGACTGTAGTAAAAATAGGTAGAGTAATCATATGCTTGTCAGCCTTATTTATTCTCTAAATAACATTTTCATGGGCTTTCAGATAAGTGAGTCTATCTCTCTCTCTAATCCCTTCTCCCCCTTTCCTTATAAAAGACTTTTCTAGAAATATTAGCTTTTTAATGGTTTTATTTACTTATTAATGATATTTTTCAAATTTCTACCATCCGGGGCTCATCTCTTGAG